CTGTGAGTGTGTGTGTGTGTTTGTGTGTGTGTGTGTGTGTGTTTGTGTGTGTGTGTGTGTGTGTGTGTGTGTGTGTTGTGATATTTTACTTTCTTTTGGGGTGGCTGTCTTTGTGTGCCTCTCACGTGGTCTACTTACTATACGAGGAGAACACGTTTGCGAGAAAATTTCCAATTATTATTCTAAGCATTACCACCATGACATGCTATTGTCGAGCGGTAGGTGGTAAGAGAAACATTCTTTGTTTGGCTTCATACTGAAATAAAGGGAGAGGGAGGGCGAGAGTGGAAGCAAGTAGAGAGAGAGAGAGGATGGGAGGGTTGAATGAAGTGAAAGGGAGGACAGTTTCAATAATATTGCATTAGTCTTACAATGGGCTGCTGGGGCAGATATAACACGCTACAGATTCAATCTTTCTTCACTCCTTTCCCTTTGTCTTCTCCCACAGTGATAGTACTCTTCGTCCCTTCAACATGTACTAAATCATTGACAGGAACAGTTCTCTTCTCCTTCCAACATACTGAATCATTACCATTATCTATAAATCTCTTTTACGAGGATTATTTTACTCATATAAACTAGAGAATGGAATAAAGACATTTTACTCATAAACTTACAAAATGCAATGCAGACATTTTACTCATAAATAAGAAAATGGAAGGTGGACATTCCACTCATAGCCTAAGCATAAGCTGTTTCTCTTCAAGAGCCACACCCCCCTCCCCACCATAGAACAGTGACTTCTCTGAGAGATGTGACAATCTGTGGCTAACTGCCCTAGGTCAGCTATCTGCTCCCTGGAGCCCTAGACAAGTGAAAGTGTGATATCAGAAGGCAAGATGTAGAGACCAGCTGGAGGGGGGAAAAAGCGCAAAGGTTCTGGCAAGGGGACAAGTACATCTTTTGAATACGAAAAAAAAATTGTTTTAACCCTTTCCTGAGAGAAACTGCTCTTAGCCTGTAGCCTGCTTTTCTTTGGACACTTTTCCTGCTGTTAGCGTCAGTTTCTTTCCCAAGCTTAAAAGATACACCCCCCCCCCTCCTCTGAGGTTACAATCCCATTATATCTCAGCTCTCCACTTATTTTGCACAGAACCATAAATGTCTGGCAAGGGACAGCCCAAATTCTTGGCTTTTCCTGCAGGCGAGACAAACAAATATTTGCCAAGACTTCACCTATCCAGAATGGCCCTGTATAAATATATAATATGAGGCACACAGCTAGGAGAGGTCTCAATACGCAAACTGTGGGCAAAGTGCAGTCGAGTCAGGAGAGGGATAAAATGTTTTGTTGGAAGACAAAAGCATGCGGGTTAGCGAGTGTCACACAGCAAAAAATGAAGCTGAGCTGCTGCGGTACACATGAGGGGGGCACGCAGCGCGTTGCTGCTCACTCACAACGGGAGGCGGGACACCGGACGCTTTGTGGTGGTGGTGGTGGGGGATCTCGTACGGCGGCGGTGGCCCAGCAAGCTGAAGGTGCTGCTGCTGCTGCTGTTGTTGTTGTTGTTGTTGTTGCTGGTGATGGTGGTGGTGCTGCTGCTGCTGTTGTTGTTGTTGATGTCGTTGTTGTTGTTGTGCCTGTTGTTGCTGTGCCTGTTGTTGTTGTTGTTGTTGTTGTTGTTGTTGTTGTTGTTGGTGGTGGTAGGGTTGTTGATGGTGATATGGGTACGGCGGTGGTTGCTGATGTTGCTCAGACTGGTAGGTAAGCGGCATGCTACCACCAAAAGGCACAGTAGGGGCAGCACCACCACCCTTTTTGTTGTTGTTGTTGTTGTTGTTAGAGGGGTGATGATGGTTGTTGTTGCTGTTAATGTTCACATAGTTAGGCAAATCGTACTGAGATTTCGGCCGATCCTGTAGAGGCTAAGTTCAAAAGATGGGGCAAAGGAAAGAAGGAAAAAAATATATCAGCGCTGGTGAAAACTATTCTTGGCAGTGCAGTTTATCTTAGGCAAATACAGGCATTAGAATTAATGTACATGAATATAACATTTTTAAAATGCCAATTTTAAATGCAAAAACAGAAATATCAGCATTCATGTCGAAATAAAAATGGTCACCAAAAAATAAAAAGGTCTACAGTTAGAATGCTCTATACAAGTAAGTTGCTTAAGTCAAGATGGCATGGAGTACAAAACGTCATGGAAACAATCACCGAAAAAGTCCTTGAAAAGAGAGAAATAGGCTACAAGTTTTTTCATAGAAAGCCGCAAACCCCCCACATCATCCACACTACCGTGGCCAATACAAAATTCCCTCTCACTGCCATGCAGCATGTGCAGAGACGCACACACTTGAGCATACACACAAAGCATACCATGCTGGAAAATAAGAAAACTGCACAAACTTTATATATTTTACGGGCATTTCCCCTTCTGAGATAAATACACTCTACAAAGACACATCTGTGCAAGTCTACTTTCAACCTTTTAGAGACAAAAAGGAATCTTTTCAAAAGTCAAGTCACCCAAATGAGATTTTCTCAATATTTCCTCTACTTTCTAACATTTAGGTAAAAAAAAAAAAAAAAAAAACTACAAATAAGTCATCAAAATGAGATTTTCTTAATGGTTCCTTGGCTTGTTTGGCTAAAAAAAAAATTTTAAAGGAAGCAGACTGAAGCACATTTATTAAAACCACAATTCATGGAATGAGTTTGTACTAAAGAAAGATATAACTTTCATTTTCTCCTCTTGCCTCAATTAAGAACATAATTGTAGCTTTTTTACACCCCCATTGACAAAATTGTAATCGGTCAGGTGGTGTCCACTTGCATCAAAGGGCAAAAGCAGACAAGGAAGGTAATCTGAATCTTAACTATTCTCTAAAGTTCTCTACCTTTTTCTCCTTTAAATATATTTTACCTCTCCACTGGTATTCATAATTTTTTAATTTTTTTTAAGATGAGGAGGGAAGCCATCATACAAGGAGGTGTGAAAAAATATCATCACCCAAAAGCAATGAGATATGGCAAGCAACTCGAGGATAAACACGTCAAACAGCTTGATCTAATGAGCACCCATCAACTCAGGTAAAGAAACTTTGGGGGGGGGGGGGGGGGGGGAAAAAAAAAGGGGCCCATAAGAGGGGCCTGGGGGCCACTGGGGAAAAAAAGGGAACAAAAAAAGGCCCGTCCTGCTACTTGAACTATCCACGCACTACGCTATGGGGGTAAAATCAATTCTCCCATTCCCCCCCCCCCCTCCCCCTCTCCATGCCCCGTCCAATTCATATACAACACTATTTTGCATCACCCATCATTCCAGTGATAGAGATATCAATTTTCATACGGAGTTAGTTGATTTGAGTAGAGCTTGACTGATAGTCACTAGCCAGTCAGCAGGGGAAAAAACTGCTTGAATGACTATTTAAGACTATCTGAGGACACCTTTGGAAAGTTATAATATTATACTGTCCACTTCGCCACAATACAGCAACCAAGAAGGAAGAAAAAAAAAAGGGAAATAGACAATGAAAAAAGCTTAGACCCAAGAAAATCAAGTCCCTGTCAAGTCAAAATTAGCATCGATTAGATCATGTCAATGGCAAGAAGCAAATTTATTATTACAGCATTAGTGGAAAAATAAATGGATGATGAGCTCCAGTCCTGTCCTACGTTTTAACCGACTTCTTTAAACCAAAGTGTGATACATTAATGGAACCGTGAACAAGTCTGTACAACGGAAAGCAGTTTGTTGCTCTAGGTTACAGCTTGAGCCAGAACGGACCTGTGGTCAGCCAGTACACCATTCTATGGTGGTGTGATCTGATTGGACGAAAGCGGCTACATAGGAGTGAGCGCAAGAGTCCGTCTGCTTGTGTGTGGGTGCGGGTATGTAAGTACCGAATGTATTAGCACGCGTGTGTATTGTGCAAAACTTACTTGAGTAGCCTTTGGTTGCCTGTTTACAGGCGTTATAGGAACCAGGTTATCAGAGCGACTGCGCAGGTGTTTTGGACCCTGAGGACAAATGAGCGAGCAATCCAGACATAGCGTTTCTCTTTCAATTTCTCTCCATCTTCATATTCCTTTCACCCACATCAGATCTGGCATGAAACTATTCCTTTCAGTTCTAAGACTTATCAGCGTTAATCTTTTCCAGGTATGTGGAAGTCAAACCAGAAACTCCATTTTAGTCACGAGTATAGATGGAAAAATCTCCATAAGCGTCAAACTCATGTGCGCAAAACCTAAGTGCCAATTTTATTTATTGACTGAAAAGACACTTTACAATAAAGTAACAAACAAGAACAGTTCTTGCGATATTTGTAAATCAAACGGCTGGCCAAAATGGTTCCATTCGGCTACACACTAAAAAGTAAAAGTAAAGAAAGAAAAGAATCCACACAAAACTGGGTTGTTGGGTTGGTTTTTTTTTTGTTCTAAAAAATATAACTAGTGCAGCAGCAGTTGAAGCTGTTGGTTTTCGCACATCGAAAAGTTCAGAAATCACACTGCATTTTTATAGCATCAAAATTATTTGTCTTCACACGGCAAGTGATTTAGAAACAACACTTTCTTTTATTTCATGGTGCAGAGAAAAACTTTCAGTTAAAAACCCTCACACATTTGAGTGTGTTGTATCCCACAACCAGATAGAACTAAGAAATATTTTTTTTAATGAGATAGAAAGATTTTTCCACAATGGATAAACCCTTCATCTGTCACATATTATGTATGCACATATAACACAGTTACATACAACGGTAATAAGCCCTTTACTAAAACTGCACAGGCAGGTGCCACCCGCACTGTTTGATGTACCATAAACAGAAGCACACGCTATAAATCTGCTTCTCTTCACTTTAAAATAAACGCCAAAAAGAGATTAAAACATTTTTTTTCAAGAATCAATGAGGGATCATGGTCTCTAGATAAGAAAAAAAGAGTTCACCAATTGTTTGATGATGTAAGAATCAGTCCCACAAAGTCATGAAACAAATCTGACAATCCAAACGTTAAACTCATGTGAAGAGCACATCACTGCATGCAGTGATCATGCAGTGATAGGTGCGACCAATTTGCATACAATTTGACCTTTTTTAAAATTCAAAACATTCGGAAATCATTGAAAAAAAAAGATTTTCAAAGCCCCAGATACTATTCAAAGAAATGTCTTTAAAAAAATAAATGTGTATCCAAAAATAGTCTGTACGTTACTTGCCACAGAAGTATTTTTAAAGTTACAACTTATCTATGTAGACGCAACCGAAATCGCACTTTCAGGTCGAAGCATGTTGGCAGTAGTTCCAGTACACTTGTAGAAGTCAAACTAAGTCACAAACTAGAAACTTATACACTAACACTGTGAGCTGAAAAAACCTGGGCACATGGGAGAACCTAAAAGTCTTTGCAAACTGCTATTCCAACACACCTTTTTAAGACAAGGTTTTATAGCACTTCAAACACAATAAGGTCAAATAAGTACTGAAAATTAGGGGTGTTACAAGAGAGTGACAAACACAAAAAAAGGAGGAGAGACAAGGACGATATGTTTGATATGAAAGAAGCAGCAAAACCACACCAGAGCACCCAGTAACCACCCGTGTGGAGAGAGAGAGAGAGAGAGAGAGAGAGAGAGAGAGAGAGAGAGAGAGAGAGAAAGAGAGAGATAGAGAGAGAGAGTGAGAGACAGACAGAAAGAGAGAGACAGAGACAAACAGGGATAAAAAATGGAGATATGGAGATGGAGAGAGAGAGAGAGGGGGGAGAGAGAGAGAGAAATCAGAGAGAGAGAGAGAGACAGAGAGAGAGAGAAAGAGAGAGAAAGAGTGAAAGAGAGATCAGAGAGAGAGAAAGAGAGAGACAGAGACAGAGACAGAGAGAGACAAAGGAAGAGCAAGAGAGAGACAAAGAGTGAGAGAGACTATGAAAACTATACACATCTTCTTAATTAGTCTACTTGGGTGACGTTAGTTGGAAACAACTGTGCCACATTGGCATTTGAACTAAGCACTTCACAACACTCTTTCAACACACACCATGCACTGCAAATACATGCACCATTTCAAAACTTCAATGCAATCCTAGTCAGAGCTAAAAAATATTTTCAGATGCAACAAAATCTCAACATGTATTCTTTTTCGTTTATCACATCACGTTAAGACTTTTTTTTTTAGTTTGTAAACACAGCAATCAGTACAGGGACCAGTATAGAAAATTCAAAAAAGAAAAAAAAAGAAAGTAAAATCCAAAACTATAAAATTATTATCAATTGTTATCTACAGCACATCTACAGCAAGTCAAAGATATGAAAGTCATTAAACAAACTCTTCACGATAATTAACAAAATCTTCCTTTTTTTAAGCAGAAAGGACACTTTTCACAGAAAACTACCACTACAATGAGCGTGCAAAACTACAGGTTGACAAAGGAACGACGAAGAATATCTCAAAGCCAAATAACACAATAATTTTCCTACACACGGCAACATCGTAAATTAAAAACAAACAAACAAATGTGAGATGTGCTGACCAAATGAGTTACTTCTCGCAATCCACAAATAATGGAGACGTTGACCAAAAAATCAACAATAGATCTGCAATCGAATTTGTAGATTTTCTATTGATGTCATTTATAAAACATATTCCTAAAGTATAAGATGGCTTTTATCATTTCATATTTTTATAAACTGCAAAAACTTCACCTTTAAGCGTAATGTATCTATTTCCATAGGGGTTGAATCCAAGAAGTAGCTCATTTTGTCAGCACGCATCACAAATATTTTACCACGGTAAGAGCTTGCACATTTACACACTGTCAACCTCAGGATGGTGCTGGGTTACATTTATAACAAAATAATCCTTGTCGTAGGACGGGAGGGGAGGGGAGGGGAGGGGTATGGAGAAGTATAGGGCAGTGTAGTAGTAGTAGTAGAAGTAGTAGCAGTAGTAGAAGCGTGGTTGTCCACTCACATTATCCACGAGGCTGCTCCCGCTGTCCTCCAGGCGGGCAGGGTCCGAGTCGCTGCGCAAGTGGTGGACACTGGGGGGTCGGCCGGCCGAAGGCTGTGAGAGGACGGAGGAGGGCGAGACCGAGAGTGAGACACACACACACACACACACATACACATACACAGAGCACCGCGCACTCGTATAAACACGCAATATCAACATCAGAGCATGCGTCATGAGCACAACACTAAGAGACACAAAATACCTTCTATGGTACTACATCACACCACCTGAGCACGCAAGGGCATGCACTGAGCATAAAGATTTGTATTTAAAGTCCTCTGACCAGGGCAAGCATGCACCAAAAGCACACACTCTCAAACACACAAACACACACAAACACACACACTCTCAAACACACTTTCACACACACACATACACACCTTCTCAAACACACGTTCACACACACGCGCGCGCGCGCACACACACATACACACACATACACACGCACATCCCCCCCCCCCCACACACACACACACGCATCATATAGACAAGAGAAATTAAACTAACTGACAAAGGAAAAGAGAAACAAAAATAGTCACTTGATAAACTCTATCAAATCACAATGATGACCGACTTACATTGATGAAAACCACACTACAAATTCCTATATTAATGGTTTTAAACAATGAAAAAAATCTTCAGGCTAAATTGCTACAAAAACAAAATACAACTGAGTTATCTTGTTGAACTAAAATCATAGTAATCTTTACATATAAAAGGTTTCAATTTCTTATTTTTTTAAACTTTGAAAATTAAAACTTCTCATTGTTTAGTTTAAAGAACAATGTTATCAAGTGACTAATAACTCTTTTCAAAAGAACAAAGACATTAACAACTGACACACAGTATACATACAAAATATCTATTGCATTCTAAAAACCACAAGAAAAAGTAACAAGAGAAAGCTTTTTATCGTAAGCTACTTGTCAGACAAATAAACCGTAACTAGTATCAAAATGAAATGCAAAAACTAAACTATTACCGATCAACTGTTTTCTGTCTTCAACAAAATAACCAATCACAAAAAGGAAGTGTAATTCCCTATAGAGAGCTAGAGTCAGACGGCCTGATCCTTGTGCTCTTAAAACATAAAACTACAAAACCTAATTTAACAGCCACTAATAAGAATTATTGTCAAGCAGTCTAATCTACAGATCATATGATTTGATTAGATTCATATGTAGGCAAATAATACTATATATGGGTATGTACATAAAAGGCAAAGTTTTATAAATAAGAGCATCTAAATGAAAGATAACAATTTGCTTCTTTCGTTTTCGCTGAAAGAAAACAAAAAGATGATAAAGAAAGCATTTTGCGAGTAATGACGAGCTCTGCTATTAATCTGAACTAAAAACGTATTATTAGCGCATTAATTCAGACATAAGCAGAAGAGGACGCACAAAAAATTTTAATTTACTATTCTTGACTCGTTAAGATCAAAATGGTGGTCGTATTATAAGACAAATCAAAACATCAAGAATCCCCCCTGGAAGCAGACTAGGATAACAGACCCACTGATAAAGAAATAGAATGAGCAAGCCACACCACAGAACTCACTGTCAACCACCCATGGTCGATACAATGTAGGCCTGTACACAAAGAACTGGTAAAAAAATATATTACAGCAGGTCATGCTCTCTTCCCGTGCTTGGAAAAATTAGGATAGAAGAGCAACATCTCTCCCCACAGTGAGGTAAGCTACAAGGGTAACTGAATAACAATATGTAAATTTGTTAGTCTATATAAAACAACCCCATTGACTTAACTTATTAACTTAAGATCATTAAATAGGACAGCTACTTCAACCCTTTCAGTCAGGGCCAACAACCCAGCCAGGCTGAGAGGAGTACAACAGTCTCAGCTGTTAGAGATACTCGATAAAAAGAAAAACTTCCTCAAGACAGAATCAAACACACATCTTCTGCAAAAAACTTAGGGTGCGCAATGACCATAGCATTAACTAAAAAAAAATGTTTTCAAAGAATCACAATAAAATACAGTCAAATTTTAAAAAGGCAAAAAATGCCGCATTGTTGGCCACATAGTGCCAGGAAGCAGACTGGGACAGTTGTGACACCGAAAAGAAATTTAAGGAGCAGACTGTCCCAAGGAAACCACTGGGAAAACCTCCCAAGGACATAGACAAAAAGTCGTAAATGCGATAGAGAGGCCAGTAAGAATGATCAAAAGCACCCATCAAACACCCACTGGGATGAAAGATAATGTTGAGAGGAAAAAAAAACAAACAAATAAACCTCAAAAACAAGCCCTGGCATAAACAGAAAAAAGCGGCTCAATAAGAAAAAAAGACAATCCTTTCTCCACAAAAATCATTTTCATTATATGACATCACTTCACCAGTCTCAAACATGAAAACAGCCAAACTCATATTGCAAAGAGAAAATCTTAAGTATTCTAAAATCACTTTGGATGCACTTTGTTATTTCTTCAAATTCAAAATAAACTCCCATTAATATAAGACAGAAAAAATCAGAACTATTGTCTTGAATTACTTCATTTTTTCCCCCAATTAGCAACAATGCAACAATGGCCGGCAAGCACAGAACAAGACATCATAATTAAGTAAGCAGAATAAATGAGCGATAATGGATACGCAAGCCAATAATATTGGAGCAAATATAATAGAACAGGTCATTTATTTTACTGTAAATATTTTACACCTCTCCCTATTCCCTATTCGATACAATTTACATCATATAGGGGGGGGAGGGGGTGTCAGATGCTTTGTCCCTGCCCCTCAGGGCCAATCTGAACTGCGTCCCATCAAACGGAAATTCTCAGCAAAATAATTCCCTACTTAAAAGAAGCCAACCTCTGCAAGCAACGGTGAAGAACTTAACCGTTACACCATAGACACCGATAGATTAGAGGGAAAGAACAAAAAGCCTTGACACACTAAGAAAGAAGAACCAAAAAATAATTGAAAAGCAGTGAGTAAAAAAAAAAGCCCCAAAAAACAGGCCAGGACAAATACATTATGAAATGTCTGATGCTTCTTTTGCTATATTTTTACGGTCCCTTTTTAAATGAAGTAGGCGTACTGCAAACGACATGGACAAGAAAGCCATTTCTTCGAGTACTAGGTAAAGAAAGAACCTTTTGTATGACATCACAAGTAGGTTGCTATGGGGTTGTTTTTTTTAAGTCTACTGAATTCTTCATTGAATTTCTACAACCATTACAAATGAACATTTTGGCCTCCACGGAATTCTTCTTTGTGCTGCACAATATACCACCAATGTAAAAGAGCACCTAAAATTTATTTCCCCTAGCCACAGAGTGAGCAGCACTCCGAACACATTTCACTTCAGTAAATTAAGTTGACAAAACTGTTATTTGTGGCAACAATATTCAATAAGACAGTACTTTCAGTAACCTCCAAATCAAAAACAAACAGACAGACAGTGACCTTGGAGAAAAACCTGAGCAGAGACTTGAAGAGAGTAGAAAGGAGAAAAAAAAATGCGGAAGTGCAGATGGAAGCAGAAAATAATGAAGGGGTAAAAAGCCAACCTCATAAAAACAGAAAAGTAAAAGTAGCAGCATTTACTGCAGACAGCAATGGGTGAACATGTCTGTGACGCGACCAACGAGAATAGAACTTTGTATTAAAAAACCTTGGCACCCCAGTTCGCAGCATTAAACTTACACACTGGAAAGCAGAGATAGGGAAGAGACAAGTTGATATGTACGATACACTCCATCAAAGCATTATCCTTCAAAGTTAAGTATTTTCCAATAGCCCTCGCAAGTCTTTCAATAGGCAGCACGATAAAGAAAAGATCACAGCATGCATAAGATACAATTATAATAGGTATACGCAAAAGACTGAGATTATTCCTAAGTCGGTATTATTTCTGAGGGGTTGCTACAATAATATCTTGAAAAAAGTGGAGATACATATATAGAATAATCTGGACAATATGATCGTCGCCGGAAAAGTGAGTATGAGACAGTTTTCTGTATACTGGAATATGAACATGGGTTTGTTTCTACTGGCTGAATATGTTATTGGTAACATAACTGCGGTACATTGTCTCTAAAGAGATGGAGAGTAATGTGGGGGGGCGCAGGGATGGGCATTGACTGAACATCTGAGACCTTTTCCTAATACCATCCGACATATTTTCTCAAAGAATGATTCTATAAGGAAAAACACACTCAACAGCATTGTAGAAAGATCCAGAACCTGCCCATCCCTGAATTGATAAGAAGAGAAAATATGTTGGGGGGGGTCGCGCAAGTGAGGGAGCTGAAGAAGTGCGAGCTTTGATACCAGGCCATGCAATCAGGCAGGTGGGCTATTGTGAAGGCTATACTGGGTAGCCGCGCCAGGCACAGCTGGCCGGGCTGACACTCACAAGCTGCTGCTGACCAGCAGAGTGGACATGGTAGCTAAACGGGCGGCCACCAGAGTCTGGGACAAACTGCTGGTGGTGCTGGTGCGGGTGCTGATGCTGGACCGGCCGGGTCAGCACCTGGCTCGCTGGCCGCGTGTTGGGCGACCGTCTCTGAAATAAGCAGGAGGGGGAGAAGAGCAATGGCAGACTGTAATTGGGAGTCCACCGACCTGACTGACACAATTGAAACGGCCGCTTGGGTCAGGACAACTCGAATGAAGGAAAGGAATGGGAAGTGAAATTTGTTGGCGGTTTGGAAAGGGGCGAAGAGGATGAAGGAGGGAGTTTTAAGCATCATTTTTTCGAGCTTTGATAGATGTCCGAGCAATACTTTCTTCCGAACCTGTATTCAATGTTGTTCTCCATACTAGAAGACTTCTTTTTTAACTAACCAAGTATGTGAATCAATACTAAAGTACAGCTGACAAAGGTTAATTTTTCACTTGCAACAGTTACCGGAAATATAAAAAATCATGAACTGTAGAGATGGATGCAACAGGGCGGGTGAAGGAGGAGGGTCAGAAATGGACATCAAGGGAAAAATGTTACCACAAATAGCAAATTGCAGCTCAAAGCTGAATAGGTACACACAAAAATGCAGATCTAGTACCTACTTAAATAGCGTCCTCTAGAATGAGGTGTGCAATGTTTCACAGCCAATATTGGTTATTGATTTACAACTGCATCACTGTATTTTCCCATATGATAGTGAATCTGTAGTCCTGATGAATAATTTTTTTTAAATTAAACAAATTAAAAATTCCAGCCAAACTGGCAACGCAGACAATGGGCAACTCCTACCTCATCTATACTAAAAACGAAACACGACTGAAAAGCCAACATAGCTGAGGAAAAAGTTCTCAAGTCAAATAATAAACCGAAAAAAAATTTGGAAATAAACACATGCTAGATCTACACTACGTGTCCAAACTAAAAAAGGAAGCTTTACAGTGTTAGTCTAAAAATCACAAAGTGGATAGTTCATCTACATCACACAGCATATATGAAATGTGGCATCATAGAAAGCATCACAAGTCAGTATGTTCCAAAAAAATATTCAAAAATAGTAAGCACAAGGGCTTAATACAGGCACAGTCATAATTCATGTGAAGGGTTAAAATAGTACAGTTCGAACATGCAGGATTAGTACATATCTAGTTGCGGAATACACATTCAAAGACACACATAATATATGTTAGAAGATATACAAAGGGCAGGCCAAGATCAAAATGCAAGTGTACAAGAGTCTTCACTTAAATTACTTCAGTTCCATTTGTGAAAATTTTAGAAATGTAAACTGTAAGATTTTTAAAAACTATTTTTTCCCCACACAATTACAATATGTTCCCTCATTGTTTAAAAAAATTACATTTCAGGAACAAAAACTATGTAGTTATCAGAATTTAAGTACACACACGCATGAGCACACACACATATTATGCATTCCCTCACATTCATTAATATGCAGGTGTGCACATGTATGAAAGCTCACAATGTCAACAAAGAAAAAAAAATCTTCAAGTCCAACTGTCACACCGACATCTAAAAAATATTAACGCTCATCTTTTTAGCATTTCGGTCAGGAACCAACAAAGGGTCAGGGCAACATTAAAAGCTCCGAAATCCAAATCCTAACTACATTATGTGTGTAATATATATATATATATATACATTATATATTCCTAGGTTAAACAGAAGCTAGCCTAGAGAGGTCCAACTAACAACACCAGCTGCTGAAATGCACAAATCCAACAGCCATTCAGCACTCGGCTGGGAGCAACAATGTATCACACTGTGCGAGTCAGCCAACACTGCGGTGCACAACTACTACAGACCATAAAGGGTTAACAAAAATACAAGCTGTGGGAGGGGTAAGTGCACACACTGACCGAGGTTAGTCAATAAGTCAATACCAAGTGGCAGTTTTCCAACTCAGTACTGGAGTTTCAATTAAAAAAGGGCTGATTTGACTACATACACAGGGTAGCTAGCTATTGTGTGGACAAAAAAAAAAAAAAAAGAGAGGAAGGGGGAGAGAAAGAGGGGCCTGGGAGAGCACTGACACGAGCAGAAATAAATTTATCAACTGAGAATAGAACTAAATTGCGGTACTCTTATCAAACCTTAAGTAAATGAATTTTTATTAAGAATCCTTCTTGTTTCAATATTTAAAAATAAAAAACCAGGTGATTTGTATTCTTTTTGTGCAAACTAAAAAGGATGAGGTTCAAAGCCCCCAAAATAGTGAACAATAAATACAAGACTCTAGCTATCTCATTATTTTAGCTGCACTCTAATCAAATTGTAATATTCATAAAAAACACAGCTTAAAAAATGTCACAGCCAAGGTAAACAAGAACTGCTAAAACTTGACAGAAAGATAACATTTCTCTGCAAATGCCATGTCAACATAACACACCCATATCTTCTTCTATAACTTCAGTCTTTGTCAAAACACAATTAAAATTTAGTAATACAGAAAACACCCCCTCCCCCCTGCTTCCTTTTCATTTACTTAATATTTTCATATTTTTATACAACATGGCCAATTATACTTTAAGTTCTTAGAAAATTTGGAGACTATACCAGTCACTACATAACAAGAACTTGACAGTTCTCCACACTGGCTGGCGTTACAGCAAGACAGTACAGCTGACCCTCACAGTCATTGATTTGTTTGCAGTTTATCAACAAACAATAAAATCAGAAATGGAACTTTGTATACCTTTACGACCCTATCTGTTAAAAAAAAAAAACGGTGGGAAGGCGAGGACGCTTGACAATCTAAAACACATTACCCAATATACAGTTCCATAATCCAGTGCGGGTGGGTAACCTTCTTAAAACACCGATGTGTCAGAAAAGTTATGCAAAACCGTTAAACCTGACTAACAACACAACAAAAAAAACAACAACAACAACAACAAAACCCACCTCAAAGTTACATATGTCTCCTAAAATTCCATATATTCCTCCTATACATTCGATTCAGCACTGGTCAAAGGGGAACTAAAACATCTTTTGTTGGAGGGTCAACTATACTGCTGCCCACCCTCAAGCCTTAATATAACTGCTCATGCTCTCGCGGCCAGAAGACAAGAGTGGTAGGTGTGGTGAAGAGGGGTAAATGGGTGGGGGTGCCAAGGGCAACGCGGAGGAGGAAGAGGAGTAGGAAAAGGAGGAGCAGACGAAGGTCAAAGGTCCACTAGCACTTACAGCCGGGTTGTCTGCCGCCAGGGAAGTTTTACTGGCCGAGCTGGCCGAGCTGGCCGAGCTGGCCAATGGGGCCGCCGCCTGGGCTCCTGCCACGCCCATAGACGTCGCTGGGGCCGCCTGTGCCGGAGCGGTGGGGGCCACCCGCTTAGGGCTCGGGGTGGGGCTCGCCTTTTTGGTGACGTTCTACGTCCCCGGTTGACAAAAGGTGTGGGTGAGTGATATGGCCATGGAGATGGGTGGTGGTTGTAGTGGTGGTGATGGGTGTGAGGATGGAGGAGGAGGAGGAGGATGTAAAGGGAGAGACACCGACTTATGAGTAACAACACAAACATATTTCCTTCACCAACTCACACATCAAAAACACTCTAGTCTCTGCAGCCAGTTCTTTCAGTTAAGATTTTAAAGATGCTCAGTCTCCACACTGACCGCAAATCAAGAATTTGCAACAAGACCTAAAACTACTACTGCTATAGCATGTACGTCTCCATAACAGAATCGTTTTCAAGTATTCACAAAGCTGAGTTACAACTCCTCAGCACAATCTCTCAAACCCAACACCTGCCATTTAAGACTAACAATCCTGCAGCAAACCTGCACTTATCACTACATGGCATTGGACAGAAGGGCGAGAGCCCAGCTGTTGCTGGATTGATAACAACAACAACAAGACTAACAATCCACTCACAGGAGTAATATTTCTAGATCTAAAAAAAGACAAACTGTCAATCACTTTATGTTCTCTTTCTCTTTTCCTGAAAAGATGCCTCTTTGCATATGTTTCAGAGAAAGTGAACACAAGGAAGATGAACAGATGAGGAAGGTTAACACTTACGCACAATAACAGGCAGGCAAAACAAAATGACATAGGAACAGACGTCACACACAGAGCCAGCCTAACAGCCAGACCAATGTGTGAACAGGGAGAACCGTGCTCAATTATGCACAAAAGTCAGATCCAACACAACAACAACCAGATGCCGTGTGCAGTGGGGCATGGGGAGAAGGCATGCATCCCCCAGTCAGCATACACTTGATATACAATGATGGCAGGCCTTTCTCAGTCGTGGAGACCCAAGCATTGGCAACACAAGACACACGATGAGTTGTTATTCACTATAATTACTGTGGGGGGGAGAGATTAGTTGGAACAGCCCAGTCTTGGTGCCACTGTACAACAGTAACAGCAGTAAATAATAACCAGGGTTATTATCTTACAACAGATTATCATAAATATACAGGAAGATACAGACAAAAAAGACCCAGTACACTGAAGCATACATTACGGTCTCCATACTCCATCTCCCTCCTCCTTTTTACTTTCAAACTCACCTAACAGAATATAATCTATCAATCCTTGGCTTCTTTTACTTAACACACCGAAAACAAATTTCAGACACTAAAACTGCTTCCCAAATAATGAGTCGAACTCTGATTTGAGCATACAAAACTACCCCTTTTTCCTATAACACTATTTGAAAACACACTTTTGTATGCCACAAGCATTTCTTAGTTCCTATAAATATCTCCAGTATAATAAATTAATGTTGGGCTCTTCTGATTTCTTTTCGTACTTTCTTCAACTCAACAGCAGAGTAACACTGTCTTGAAAGTACATACTAATAAGAAGTTAAACTTACTTGTTCAAATATACAACAAAATACTATTGGTACATGTCATGTCACACACTTGGCTGTTATGAAATAATAAATAAATGCACAGAAGTAGAAATGTTTTCAAAAACTAAAAAGTAAGTCCATAGTCCCAGCAAAATGCACTCATAAACAAACATCAGAAAGTGTAGAAGACCAATAAGCAAACATGCACCCCAGATCACAAGAGCTACAAATTCTTCAACATAAAGCGAGCAGATGAACAAACAGAAAAAAAAAAAGAAAGAAAGAAAAAAATCCTTTTACGTGTTTTTGTGCAAAATAGTGCACAACAAATTTCACTATAAAACCTGACACTTTAAAATTACTGTTTCAGAACACCATGCAAAACATTCAGGAAAAAAAAAACACAAAAAAACTGAACTGAACTGACAAAAGGAACAAGGACAAAAAGCTATCGTGAGAACACCGTACCTCGGTCTGTCCACCCAGACTGTCAACAGGCCCTCCCACCAGAGTCTGGATGCCGTTGATCTTCTGTTCTCTGATAGTCATAATCCACTGATCTTTCAAGTCTTCTTCATCGCTGTTGTCTCCTGACCTGAAACACAATAATGTTTTGGGTTTTTTAAATCATCAACCCTGTCCACAGAACATATGAACCAGCATGCATATGTCAGGCATCGCAGTGAAATCAGGCATTCATCAAAATAATGAAATCAAACAAAACATTTTTTCCCTCCCATTTGCCAATTTTTAGCGAGTTCTTTGTTAAGGGCTCAAAACCTTTTAAGCCCACTTCAAACACATTCCTGCAATGCTTAGTTTCCAAGGACAAAACAACTCGGTAGTCACCAAACTTTGGCAGCCATTTTCTTGCAAAATTTTACCTGACACCCTGCGACCCCACCACTTTCAGTCAAAAATATCTCCACCTCTATTCAAGATAAATAGGATTTTTTTTTCATCAAAAGCAAGATACAACTTCAAAATTTACTACACCGCATTACATAACAACAGAGAAAAGTGAACATGTTGTACTCGTCTATGTTCATTCTTGTCACACATGCACTTGTGGATTTTTACAGTACATTAATATGTGACTGCATCCACAACTTCAAAACCTAAAACAATATGAACGACATCTCTTGTAAGATAATAGCCTATTCTGAACTAAATTTTGGCGAAAAAAAGAGTTAAAAAACTAAACCTGAAAAAAAAAATGCCTATCAAAGAGAAACCAAGCATGAAATGAAAAGTACATAAGCTGATTACTCAGAATCTAAAAATTAAATCATCATTTAATTTAAACAAACCCCTTTCAATCAAACAAGCCAGAAGGCAAAATATACTCATACTCCTCCCCTAATCTCAATAGTATTATTTTCTAATATAAACCAAAGAAAAGGACTGTTCTCTGTCAATAGCAGCCTTCAAGGAAGGAAAAGGATAAGTGACAAGTACTAACTCTTCACTGTCTTCGCTGTCGCTGTCTGGGCCTTTCTCCGATTTCCACCTCTTGTACCGGTCTATCAATTCTGACAAGTAGGCAGTCTTTTTGGCACGACGGATGAATGGGTGTTTCAACAATTCTTTGGCAGGCGGTCGCTGGAGGGAAGGAGATATGCAAAATTATTCGGAATCACAAGCTGTCAAATGAGACTATCAAAATTACAAGGGTACATCATCCTTACAAAAGGAAAAGAAAATCCCCAAAACTGAAAATGGCCTGAAATTTTTTTCATGACATTACTGAAATATTCTAACTACAGTTCATGAAACGTTCAAAACAGGAAATATAATTACAGAGTGTTGACCACAGCTACTTAAATTTGCTGCAAACACCCTTCTAATAACTTCTGCCAGGCGTCTCTCCTCCCTCGCAACAAACTGACTGCAGAGCAGGAAAAAAAATTCAAGCACTCACTGCAAACAGTTCACACACAAACTGCCACAACAAATCATATATATATATAAGAGTACAAAGCTTTTTTTAAATACAATGGAGGGTAACAAATCTTTTAAAACTCTAAAAAAATAGACACACTACAACCATCTGCAAAAGGACTGGGTACAGGCCCCAAACACTTTCTACACAAAGAAAGTCTGGCTACTGACCAATATCAAGGTCATACACACCCCAGAACTGTGACACTTGACCAAACTACACAATACCAACACTTTTTTCCCCTTGTAACTGCTAGGTGATATTACATCTAGACAACGTACACATTAGTAGTTAACTTAAGCCGGTGCTTACATTGGTGGGGTCCTTGTTGAGACAAAGTTCCACAAACTCTTTGAAAGGTCTGGAGAAATTCCCCGTCAGCTGGGGTGGATTGTTCTTAGGAATGAGAAACAGCACTCGCATGGGGTGCAAATCAGAGTTAGGAGGCTCTCCTTTAGCCAGCTCAATAGCTGTGATGCCCAAACTCCAGATGTCAGCCTGAAAGCAAAGAAAATTGTTATTTTCCATTAACTCACTGATTACTGGGCCTTTTCACCAGTCATAAGCGCTGAAGACTGGTGTTTTTGGGAGTATTTCATAACACCACCACAAATCTCAGAATTACCCTATTGTATTTATTTTTTGACACAGTAAAGTTACATTCAAACTTAATCTAATACAAAAAACTTATGTTGTTTAAGTCTAATACTTTTAATTTTTATGATTTTTAGAAAATTGGCATGAATTTGGTTTTCCGGAAAATTTCCAGAGACATGACAAATAAAATGAAATTCACAACAACAAAAATAAAAGTTCAAAGTGTTCTGTTTTGATTTGTATGTATGTGTGAGCGTGTGGTGAAAATATAAAAGCTGAGCTGTGCATTGATTCAGACCCATGCAGTGAATTACATGAGACAGACGCAGGGCACGAAGTTGTGATTTCGTTGTGTTAACAACAGCACCAGTACTAGTGCTAGATCTAGCCCTAAAACCACAAATCAGGCCGTGTTCGGGTACATATCAGGGTCTAACTAATGTAGGGGTATACTGGCCAGCACAAGGGTGTACGAAACCTCCCTGTGAACTCGAACCCTGGTGCCGCCCATTATCCTGTTATCTTTTTCTCAGCTCCTTTACCTGGCACACCCTGATTTTGCCCAAGTGATTTTACTGGTACACCCTGATTTTGCCCAAGTGATTTCACTGGCACACCCTGATTTTGCCCAAGTGATTTTACTGGTACACCCTGATTTTGCCCAAGTGATTTTACTGGTACACCCTGATTTTGCCAAAGTGATTTTACTGGCACACCCTGATTTTGCCCAAGTGATTTCACTGGCACACCCTGATTTTGCCCAAGTGATTTCACTGGTACATTCTGGTTTTACGCACCTTTGTGTCATAGGCAGACTGCTTTATCACTTCTGGTGCCATCCAGAAAGGCGTACCCACAAATGTGTGCTTGTTGTTGATGGTGGTCAGCTGTCCAGCTACTCCAAAGTCAGCCAGCTTCACATCTCCGCCCTCTGACAGAAGCACATTGGCAGCTGGACGAGGAACAGACAAAACCATCAGGTGTGATCAAAGATGGTTCAGGCAGACAGACTTTATCTATCTACTTCACAGAAACAGCTGAATTGGTGCAAATTTCAACCTGCTTTATCATTTCATTCAAGCAACCACACCTAAATATTAAAAAGAAAACAACAAAAAAACAAATAAAATTCCTCACAATATTTTAAAAAACTGTTTATCAAATAACACACATGCAAACTGGATTCAACAGCAGCCCAATAACACGCAAATACTCAGAAGCTCCTCCACGGCACGAAATAGTATATATTTGCCAAAATGAGAAATACTCAACAACCAAAACAACTCATCGCCAAGTAATGCATTGAGAAGACCAAATCAGAAGCCCTCTACACTGTCCGTACCTTTGATGTCTCTGTGAAGTTTACGTTCTGAGTGCAGGTAATCCAAGCCCTTGAGTATCTCTCGCAGTATGATGGCGATGTCGTTTTCTGTGAAAGTGCCAGCCTTCATCAGATCTAAGGCTGAGCCGCCACCCAGATACTCCATGATGATCCACAGCTTAGAACCCTGGGTACAACAACAAAATATATTAGATAAGATGAGATAAGATTCATCTTTATTGTCCAGATCCTAACACATTGGTTTGGTGTTTCACCACGTGTACACACACACACACACACACACAACACACACACACACACGCATACACGCACACACACATGCACACACATGTAGGCTTACAATCACATGCATAACATAAATGAGCAGCAATATAAACAATAATAATCTTAATATTAGTCAAGAATACACCCTTCAGACACGGTGTCCTGGGTCTCCCAAGCTTCTAACAAAATGTGGCCTCTGTGACAGAATCAGTATTCTACAGAGACCCCACTTGCATATCATTACACTCTACGTGAACCTCACTAACTTAATGTCACATTCTACTGTGACCTCCATTGCACTGTTTCAAATTCTACCAAAACCCTCTCCTCTTTCCAATAACAATGCACGGCAGAAAGAAAGAGGAAAAGGACCACGGCCTCCCGACGTCTGTATCCATGTATTGAAACTGTACTGGAGTAAATGTACAAACATATTATTTTCAAAAAGAAAAGCACCAAAACCATTTGCAATTATCTCACGAATGTGGCATCCCATGATTAACTTCTCATTATGACTTTAAAACACAGGGTTTTTTTTCTACATAAAGCATAAAGAGTCTGACTTATTCATGATCATTCTTCCCACAGTGTTCACTTCATGTTCCTAAAGACCACTGCATCAGTCACCTTGAGGTAAGAGCCATGGTATTTGGTGACAAAGGGACTGTCACACTGTGAAAGAATCATGATCTCCTGCTGGATGTCTTCTATCTCATCCTCCGCTTCCTCCAGGTCAATGATTTTGATTGCCAGGACCTCTTTGGACTCTGTGTCGATGCCTTTGAACACTTCCCCAAAGGAACCTTTGCCAATCTTCTCCAACTTTGTGAATCGCACTTCGGGGTCCACACTCAACCGACCCTGAGATACACAAAACAAAAAATATTACACAAAACATGATACAAGCAACTCCTAAAAAATCAGTCTTAAAGCCAAGCAACTTAAAAAGTTGTTTTTAAGGACAAAACTATCTTTAAGCATCAACTTTTAATAGGTTGAATCCTTGCCTGTTTTAGTACCAGACCTTCCAGCTGCTGATGCCATTTTTCGAGGATTTAGGTCCAGGGCAGCACCCTGGCAGGGAGTTGAAGGGACACAGCGCCCCCTTTACATTTGAGATTTTTGTGTTTCAGGGCATCCTAAATATGCCATTTCTGGCTATTCAAGCCTAAATTTAACAAGAAAATAAATGAGAAAAAAACAACTTGCATGCATAATTTTCTGCTTTGTCAATCCATATAAAATAATATATCCAAGGCCATGCTTTCCCCCTTGTACCGGTACTGAACATCCATAATAGTAGTATAACAGCTAGAGCTATATTTACTTGACAGTTAATGTTCTTGTGTTGGTTTGCACCATGTGTAGAATCAGTATTATCCAAGGCCACGCTGTTGCCCCTTGCACTACAGTACACTCATAACAGCTATATCTAAATAACTTGACAGCTTATGTTCAACTTAAATCTACAACAATATTTACAAATAAACAAGTATGATAACAAGTCAAGCTTTCATTAGAGAGTTTTCTATTCTTGGCAGGCTCAGGATCTATTGAACCACATTTCTTCCTCTTGTTTACAGTGCTGTTGCTCTGCTTGTGCTTTAGAAGTGAAAGTAAAAGACACTCTCTACACTTTCATATAAAAAAAGCACTCCCAGTATAGGTTTGCTATTATTGTTGCCTATTATTAATTACAGGAACTTTTTATTTCGCATTTTTTTAAATAATTTTTTTAATTACTATTTTTTTAGCATGAATTTTAAAGGAAATTTCTCCATCTGTGGATATCTGCAAGACAGATTTGCGGAAAACTGGAAGCACTGTAGTACATGTTTTACAGCACTTGCAACAGAATAAGGTCATATAAATAATAAGTGCCGAAGATAAGAGGTGTTACGAGAGAGTAACAAACACAAAAAAGGAGGAGAGATAAGGACGACAGATGTTTGATAGTAAAGAAGAGGCAAAACACACCACAGCACCAGCCAACCACTCACAGTGTTGTATCCACTCACTAGAACAAATTACTAAGGAAGGAGGGAAATTCCCAAAACAGTCGCAGGCAGAACTAAAGCAACAACAGGCCGTACTTTCAGACAACAACTTAACATGATACATTCATATTAATTTATATTTACCGAGCAGCTTTTGAGGTTTTTGCCCTTAACATAAAGTCATTGAATTAACAATAAGTTCACTAATACAAGCAATTTTTTTTCCTACTCTTAAAAACATTTTTTTAAAGCATGAGCTTGTTTCTTGAATCCAAAGATAATAACAATGACCTCACAAAAAAAGCTGGGACTAGAGAAGCCAACAACCCCATTCAAACATTCATGACACTACAAGACCTCAATCCCCCTTGGAAAATAATTGCAGGGCTACTAACCCTTAAGTTTCCATTTCAGGTAAATTCAATGTCAATTTCAGGTATTTTAGCCCAAAAATCTGGTAGTACAAGGACAAAGAAGTAAAAAAAAAAATAAAAAAAATTCAAGTTACTGCGATACGGTACACTTTGTTACCATCGAGTGGAGATTGCTTTTTGTGGTATTGGGCAATTATGTTTTCATAACGCGTGTGCATGCACATTTACAGGCGCGCGCGTGCACGCATGCCCAAAAAAAGCAATCCCCACATGCACACCATGCTGGCTCCTTTCTGATGCAAACACTTTTTAAAAAATAAGGAAAATAGAAGGAAGAAAAAAACAATGTAGAAAAACAAAGGAGAAGAAAAATACGTACATGTACATCTCTGGTCCCTCGTTGCTGTGGTCTAGGCCCAACATCATGGTTGGCCATCATCTGAAACAAGGATGTTACATAAAATGTATACAATTATATAGAAGATATTTCTTTTTCTTTTTTAATTTTTAACTTTCATTTTCAACGTTGCAAAATTATGACAAATATCCATTTTTCAAGTGTATCAATATCACATGACAACAAAATTATGAAAGCTCACTTTTCATTCTGGTTAATTTAAAATGATTCCAGAAATATCTGAGTCCTTCCTGCAAACTATAAACTTTCTAAAATATAATGATAAGGAATTCAATTTTGAGGGATGACAAAGCATTTTCAAAATTCCATCTATTCCACAATCGTATCAGAGTTGACCATATCATGCCCTCTGAACTAAAACAGCTACACACTGAGGTATGAAAATATCCCTAAGCTACAAAGTGAACATGATCTTTTTAACAGTTTTCAAACTTTTTTTGTACCATGTCTCAGTACCATCTTGTTTCATGTCGTCCATGCCCAAACCTAAGACATTTAAATTATATTGCAGTTAATAACTCTTTTGATTCACTGGACCAGTCAGATTAAAACCACTAAAAACATAGTTCAAGACTGTGTAAACTAAAAAGAGTCTGAAATAGTCCTGAGCCTAAAATATACAACTCATCAAGGCTCCACTCATCAGGATTAACTTACTTGAGGTCCGGCCATCATTTCGAAAACTTGTCGAATGAAGCTTTACTTAGATAAAAAAAAAGAAATTCCTGAAAAAGAAAAATACGCACTTTAAAAGCACTGATCAAAACAAAACATTTTAAAGTACAATAGCCTACAGCTGTTAAAACAAGACAACACTTCCTTCAGGTCCTAACATTTTAAATTAAAGAAAACTCAATTTTTACTGATGAAAAGAATGGCCTCTATCCCCTCTAAATTAATGTTTTTAAATGTATTATTAATGATTCAACACTATCTATCCTATCTATAAAAATTGGCAAGTTTTATGCAATAATTATATTGGATTCAAATAGTCCTTCCAGGAATGCTTGTATTTAAAGCTTCCTCACCAAATACTTTTTCCACTTTTTTTTTCTACACCCTTTGATGAAAACATGTAGCCCAAGCTTGAAAACCAACTCTAAGGGGAAAAAAAAAAAGCAACAGAGACCTACTTCCACAAAAGACTAAATTCAAAGTTACCAACTGATTTCACTATCTGTTTCATTGAATTTCAACAAAGATCTTTTTGGACAAAAGACATTTTTATTTTTTGGTTGTAACAAAGGATTTGTTAGTTTACTATTACATCACAAGTCACCCAGTAATAGAAAAGTTGGAGTGCTGTGCCCAAACTTCTTGACCTTACTATGCCTTTAACCTTCTTCTGGTTAGACAGAAATGTGGCAAAGATGAAATGAATGAAACATCAATGCTCAACAAACTACAATTTTACACACATCTATATATACAATTTTTCTTCAGAAAAAAAAATCATGTAGTATCGACAGTGTAGCCTCCTAAATTTGATCAAGCACACTTTAACTTTAGCCTTTACTCAGACAACCCTGCTTTGAGATTTTTTAAAAGCCTGTGGCTATGCGTACAGTCCTCCCGTACGCCTAGCCTCAACGCTGTGCATGCCTATGACCCTCACGTATGGCCCTCTAAAGTATATCGATTTAAATCTAATTAAGTATTTTCATTCATGGCCTTGATAAATCACTCTAGGCCTACTTGGATCCTGTGCTTTGGTGAGATGTTTCTTATGAATTTTATAGACTGAAGGATTTTTGAACAATTGAAGATTTTGATAAACACAACAATAAATTGATGAACTGATTACTGCAACTTAAAAGATGATCCAACAAACACGTAAACATTGCGGCATGTCAAGTACCTACTTCAGTTGGAAGACGTACTCAAGTTATGGTGAGTTACACCGTAATTGTGCTGCTTAGGAATTTTACAATTATTAAATGCTGTCCTACTCTACTTTGTTCAACTTTCGCTTAAAGTGTTTGTTGATGAACCCTCAAGTCGTGTTATGAACATTTGTCCACTTGTAGTGTCCGGTTTGTAAACAGCAATATAGTTTATGTGCTGCATACAAAGACTCACTTTTGTGTGAACTGTAGGGCTGTAATAGACAAGTGCTCCACATCTATAGGCTATGCATACAGGACGGCTGTACGCAGAGCCAATTTTTAAAACCTAAAATACAATTGCACCAATACGCAAATCTAAGTACTAAATAAAAGCAACAAATTTAGATCAGGAGTCCTAAAACCCAACCTACCCTGTGTATGATGAGAATATTTAATTGGCCAGCTCTATTTCTCTTCTCCGAACACACAGGAAAATAAACTTGAACTCTATTTCTCTGAACGGTTTCCGTTTTCGAGATTTGTTAATAATAATGTGAATGGAGTGGAGTGGCCCGTGCGTGCGTGTGTGTGTGTGTGTGTGTGCGTGAGCATGAGTGAGTGTGCATGTGTGTGAGTGAGAGTGAGTGTGCGTATGTGTGTGTGAGTCAGTGTGCATGTGTGTGAGCGTGTGTGTGTGTGTGTGTGTGTGTGTGTGTGTGTGTGTGTGTGTGTGTGTGTGTGTGTGTTTGTGTGTGTGTTAGATGTGAACGGGGCGTGGGGGAGGGCGTGGAGGGATTTTTTTGGTTTACATGAGAAGGATTTTAGTTTTAGCTGGGTGACTAAATGCAAAATATGTTACTGCCAAGGTCGATCAGTCTTGTTTTCTTGCAGTACCTTTTGAAGGCATTTTCAAATGAAGTATAGTCCGTGAAAGTTGCCCTAACCACAACTGAAGTGTATCTGAATATATTCAGACATGATTTTAAAATCTCTCGCTCTAGAAATTGAATTCGATGAAAAAAAAAAGCTTCTTCCCAGTCCTCGCAGAATGGCAGAATGAAAGATGACGCCTAAATCTCGCAAATAACCAAAAAATCTCGAGAACGGAAACTGTTAGGAGAAAGAGTTCAAGTTTTTTTCCCAAACGTTCGGAGAAATAGTCACTTCGTATTTGATTTATTTTTAAAAAATTTTAAAGAAATATCTAGATCTAGAAAAATGGGGCTAAGAGAAAGGATACATGCATCTATAGACCATCTCTGTATAGTATGGCAAAGTCAGTAAGAGTCAGAGGGACCAACAATTGACACACACCATTCGCTCAATGAAAGCAGTCTGACAGGGCATCACAGAAATGATGTTTAAATAAAATTTGGAAGGACTTCCGTTACGGAAAATAAACTTGAACTCCCAACAAACATAATGAAGACGTTGAAGAAGAAACCTAACCCTAACCCTAGATTTACCCTTCTATTAGTTCTACTGTCTCATAGATCAAGACGTCAGTGAGTGGACAGTGGTCGCTCGTTACAGAAGAAGTCCTCCCTAGAATTCAAACAAAAATCTTTACACTATGGGAGTGTATACAGACCCGGTAACCGGGAACAAAGTCACAAAGTATACAGACCCGGTAGGGGAACTCTTTTCGTGATTTCGGAAAGTTTTAGCACCCTCTTGGCTCAGGGATTTAGGGTAGGCCAAGGAGTTTACAGTAAAAGCTCCTTGGGGTAGGCCTAGACCTAGGTTCTTCTAGCTCTATGGCCTTGGTCTAGATCTAGACAAACAGACATAAATCATTGATCTAGTCGCGAGGTTAGCCTAGATCTAGATCTAAATGAAGATTGCGGATGTCTTTTCGATGAAAGATTGTTTTTCCTCCGTTTTTGGAGTAGGAGGAATCACAATTTGAAGAAAAGAACAAAGTCATAATTTCAATCGAGCAGTCTCTCTCTCTCTCTCTCTCTCTCTCTCTCTCTCTCTCTCTCTCTCTCTCTCTCTCTCTCTCTCTCTCTCTCTCTCTCTCTCTCCTCTGTCTCTGTGTATCGCTCGCATTCTCTTTTTCTTTGTTTGTCTCTGTCTTTCTTTCTCCCCACCTATTTCCCACTCTATCTTTCTCCCCACCTATTTCCCACTCTATCTTTCTCTCGTTCCCTCCTGTCAACTGGGGCATCTCATACATTTTGTTAGCACTTCCCCCCTGCTCTCTCTCTCTCTCTCTCTCTCTCTCTCTCTCTCTCTCTCTCTCTCTCTCTCTCTCTCTCTCTCTCTCTCTCTCTCTCTCACACACACACACACACTACCGGGTCTGGCCGCAGAACTTTCCGACATTACAAAAGAGGGTGGTATTTTTTTACTAATACACCCGTCTCATGTACCCGTTTGATATACTTTTATTCTAGAAGTATTTTGCATGCTGAACACGAATATATATGGCCTTCATTTTTGCTGCAAATCAATAGTTATTGAGTTATTGATGTTTGAAAATAGTATGTAACTATAAATTAATAAATGGGGGGTTTCAGGAATTTCACAATGATTTGAAGTTTTAGTTTTGGCAATTAGGATTGATATTAAACTTGAAAGGCCACCTCTATTCTCACCCGGGGTAAGAATAGTGCAGGCGGGTCTTGTGGCTATTCTCACCCGGTGCGCGTGTCAACAAATTTTGCGTTCACCCTAAACCACAGAATTCTACACTGTGATAAGAGAAAAATTGTAGAATTCTGTGCTGTGAACAAACGTTCCATTACAACTGTACTTGTAGCCTACTAAAAGCATACAATTTTGTCTGTGGGCAGGGGAGAGAGAGAGAGTGAGAGAGAGAGCAAAACAAAATGGCGACCCGCGTAGTTCGGCTCGATTCAAAAAGTTAAATAGCCGTAGCATCTTTGTAGACAACCAAATTAATTTACATTTGTGTTTTAACATCATTTTTTAACTTTGTTTTGGTCAATTTGATCGTCCACACCGATAGACAGTATTCAGAAAGAGACAGAGAGAGAGAGAAGAGGGGAGGAGTAGATCTTGCGAGAACTTCCGGGCGGGTGAGAATAGCCACTTTCAACTTGAAAACAATTGATTTGCAAGGGTTTTAGTGGCCATGAGTGTGTTCTACAGCAAAAATTGTGGCAGTTTATGCATCTATGTGTGGGTGCAAAAGTCAAAAATTTACCCAAAAGAGTTCCCCTACCGGGTCTGTATACTTCGTGACTTTTTTGTTCTCGGTTACTGGGTCTGTATGGTAGGCCTATCCTATACACTTTGTTGTATTACACTATTTAGGGGCTGTATGTACAGACTAGATCTAGATCTAGATCTCGATCTTGTAAAAGGGCCCACAATTGGAGGTCTAACTAGAAATCTACTCTAACCTGAGTCTGAACAAACCAGTAAACCAATTCAATTCAATAGTAAACTCGATTCACTGTTGTGTCTGTTGTGGAAGTCAAAACTGACAGTTTTCAAAGAGTGCCCCCTTTCTGTTTGGGACCAGGCAAATCAATAGTATCAAGACAATGAACACAAATAGTTAACTTACTAGCACACGAAAACTTACTAAGAAGAGTACTGCCTGGATTCTGGATAGCTGATCAAGTACGTTTGCTCCGGGCTCCAACTTATAACTTGAAATATCTTTCTAAATCAGGAATCAGGATCCACCCTTGTCGAGTGCTTGTCTAAGACGAGTCAAGTCTATGTTCGTATCATTCAAAGATAAGCAAAACTATGAAAACCAAGCAAATGATACACGTTTTCTCAACCCTTTAAACAAACCGGTATTGAAAAATGCGATGAACGAAGGTGTCTAAATACGTAAACTAAAACATTGCGAATCATGATTGATGACATTACAGTCTCCTATCGCTAACAGTCGACAATAGTCCACCATTTTGTTGTTC